GTATGTATNTATGTATCTATGTATGTATCTATTATCTATGTATCTATGTATATATATATATATATATATATCAGGAGTTGGGCTCTGCTTACAAGTTGTCATTCACTCGCTTCATGTATTGTGTATCACAATGAGGTGTAACCACGATGCCCTGTATATCGCTGTGTCACCATCCTGTTGATTGTTTCTCACGGGCGCAGTTACGCATCGTACAACTAACCCACGCTGCTTTGCAACTTGGCACCTGGCTACGCGCCAATCTAACACATCTGCTGAAACCATTTATTTAATATATATTAGCATATATATATATTATTTTAATTCCCTACCAGAAGTGGGAGGTATGATGCACATGGTTTTAGATCATCCTGGCCTGTCCGTCTGTTTATTGGGCCGTTCACCTTGGATACAAGGTTTATTGTAGGCCCATGCACTATCGTACAGCGCTTCCTGACTATATACCCATGTCTCACGCACCCAATCCTACTATTCTAACACAGGTGGAAGGTGTGGTGCCCCGAATATCATAGTGTCTCCGTCTGTTTCCAGGACAGGGTCTATCAACCTGGGCCATATGTCCGGTTCCTCTTACTTGGGACCCATGTTTGGTTCTCGGTCCATGAATATGGCCATGTCTATGTCCAGGTATGAAGAGCCATGCACACTACTAGTTATGCTGCGTATGTGTGGCAGCCGTTCTGCTGCTACTTTTGGTGGCTGTCGGCTCAGCTCAATGAGAGAAATCGTACGAGGGTTAATATAAACGTTGTATTATAAACGACTCATTGTCAACGCACATCAAATAAGCAGCCAATGAGCTGGACCACATGCATGCATGCATGCTAGGGGAGGAACTTGCGTGTTTGTATCTATAATCTATGCGATAGGTGATGAGCTTCGTTGTCATGTGAATATACTAGGAAAAATAGAAATGTCTGTGTTCAGGTACGCGGCAAGCTTGCGATAGGCTTCGTCTACATATGTATATCGACATTGTGAGATTTCAAAATATGCGTCTTAAGAGGAACTGTTTCTCGCGCTTAAAGTGTTTGTTGTGTGTGTGGGGGGGTATAAATGAAGAGGGATGCTCATGGCCTCGCTATCATCGGCACTGTTGTAGCTAGACATGTAATCTGTGTACAATATATATGTACAAACATATATATGTATATATATATCCCCTAGAGCTTGCTGACACACCCTCCACGTGCAGATCTGGACTCGGTGTACCCACGAGTCGTGTTGGACGATATGGAGGTGATGAAAGCGACAAAGGAAAATGGCACAGTAGTTCGTTGAACCGCAAGGAAGCTTTGCAGCTGGCGGATGATTACACTAGCAATGGGGTTATGCTGATAGAGGATGTAAGTTCGAAACATTGCGTGGCTGTATAACTAGATTGTTGTATTGCCTGTTTGTGATACATGTATGCCATTTAGATGCACAGCTTCTGTTAGTTGATATTTGGGGTTTTATGGATGTGGTACAGTACTTGGATGTGTGTGCAAGTGTGTGACTATATTCTATTGTGTGCACACTCAAATGGCTCTCCAGCTTTTCCTTTTCAGCTTACTAGCGTTCTGTTTGGGTCCCGCTACTACGCATCCGCTTCTATGCAGATACCCCTCTCATCCTCTTCCTCTTCTACATGCAAAACTAAAGGCTCACTTCGTTCACGTATCTACGCAGAAATTTTTCAATCCCATCTTCATAGAACTTTCCAACCCCACACATTTGTTCTGTATACTTTGCTTGATCCTCGCCTATACGTACACGCTTATTCACAATTACTTGCCACTCCCACTGTACATTTAGCCTGATTCTCGCTTTCTACGTACAAGAGTTGATGCAGAAGCCTTGCACTTCCCCTATCTTCTTCCTTTTGGTTTTTCTCAATTCCCGCTTATACGTATCTAGAAGAGCAAATCTTATATCTTTATATCTTTCTCCTGACACTTCACTTAATGCCCGCATTTGCGTGTACGCCCTTGTGCAGAACATCCCAAGTTTTCTGGCTTTCTATTAAAATTTGGCTGAATGTTTGCTTTCCGTAGACGCCTCTATGCAGAAGATCACCAACATATATATATATATATTATTTGTTCTCTTGATTGTGTATATGCATGTTATTTTACTACTTGCTCGCTCTTCTGTACACGGGTGTATGCAGAAGATCTCATCTGATTATTTCTTCTCTTAACTTCATTGTGACTGTATTATTTACTAAGTGTTCGTTCTTCCGTACACGCCTCTATGCAGAAGATCCCAAATTTTCTGATTATTTCTTCTGTTAATTGTATATATATTGTTTTAATTTGTTTTACTAAGTGCTCGCTCTTCCGAACACGCGTGTATTCAGAAGAGCCCAAATTTTCTGATTGTTCTTCGTAATTTCATTGTATATACTTTATTTTACTATGTGCTCGCTTTTCCGGGCACGCGTGTATGCAGATGCTGTCCCGGTCATTCTTGTCCACCGCCCTGGAGCACATCGACGACTTCAGCCCAGGCCACTCGGCAACACAGTCGCAGCCACACACGCCAACTCCCACACCCACCCACAACCCACCACAGTACAACAAACACACAAGCACGCACAGACACGCACAGCAACAACCACCCCGTGATACAAGTAGCAATACACATGGTGGTGATGCGCACACATCAACGGATGTACGAGGACTACCCCCAAGGCGGAATGAGAGAATTGAACACATACCAACGTCACGCGACAGCTACGACCGCCAGGAATGCGCGCGGGAGTTCCATAGTGGACAATTACATAGGAACCGAGGCGAACATGAACACCACCACTCTCCGTCGCCACCACCCCCGGACCTACATGTACAGGCACCTTACTGCCCGCCAACCAACACGCGTCCCGGTATTGAGGACCCAGGCAAAGCAGGACCGGACACCCACGCGCCCATACAGACACGTGGGAAAACTTTAGGTGAGCTCGAGCGATTGCCCACAAGGCCATTTGATGGATCAGCTCCTATCACTGAGCATCGACAGCAACAGGTGAGAACCATCAATGTGAGGGTTGGTTCTTTGCGAGTATTATGAGCTTTGTTTGCTTTTTGTCCTATTTTGTGTTTGTGTGTGTCGAAGTATATATAATACAGGTGTATGCGTGCGTAATAGTCGGGGTCTATAGCAACCCCTCTCCGTTTATGTCCAGACTGTAACAGTGGGACGCACATGTCTATGATACTTGTTGATATGGAACCATAGACATACGTGGTTATGTAGCGAGAAGAGTCTTCATTGGCGATATGTTGTAAGGAAGTATACGGATGTTCTGTTTTTCCTGTCCAAAGTGCGGATGGTGTAAGTATCGGAGGTGACTTCTTAGCGAATATTATTAGTGATGAACCCATTTATGCGAAGCTTTGTGGTAGAAGCCGATTGCAACCTAAAGTATTCTATTCCTAGTGAGTACCTTATTGAAGCTCTGTTCTAAGCCTACTTCGCTCTTCGACTAACAAATGTTCGTTTCAACACGCGTACAGTATTACATAGCCCCCGACGGTAGCAGGACTTTGGTCGAAGGTAACCGCAACCGAGGGGATGACTATAGAGACCAGAGTACATACCCACTTATAAATCAGTCAAGGCAAGGTGTGACCATGCACACATCACACACATCACACACATCGCACACATCCGCACAACGTGACGATCGATTGTCGGGATATGATTCCCCACGCGCACACGAGCTTGATCATAACCGGACGTACACATACGGACAAGATAGGGGTGCGGACCACGGGCAGGGGCGGGGGCAGAGGGTTGGGAGTCAGCATGTACGAGAAGTGGGACAGGTGCACGGACAGTTTGGTACACGAGTTGAAAACTTAGAGAGTTCAGGTTTGACCCAGGTGTCTGCGTACGGTCAGGAGTACGGTAGTGGACAATTAAGGTGGACAATTCAGGGACACGAACCGGCCGGTGACAGTCGAGACAGAGGAAATGGGATAGGGCTGTCGTTTGGAGCGGATAGTGCGAGCGCGAGTGAGTACAATGATGAGGATGATGAACCCCCTAACTTGTCGCATATCAGCAATCTGTCACATATCAGCAACATGTCGCAATGTAGTCAGGTCTCGTTGTCCGAGGCTCAGGGTCGTGAGAGTGGGCCACAGATGTATACTAAGGGAACCACACGAACAACCGAACCTACACAGGGACATACCCGTCCACAAGCGCAAACATCGGTACAGCCGCAAACGCAGATGAATGCACCCAAGGTACAAGCACACGCCAATCGGCCATCACACTTTCCTTATCTGGCGCATGACCCGTCAAACTACCAGCATGAGCGCACCAATGAGCTCACGGGTATGTTAAACCCTCCGTCTGGTGCCGAAATAAGGCCTGGTCATGCGAGAATAATACCCACGCCTGAGATTGGCTCGGATACTGAGAGCCTGTACAGTTATAAACTGAAGCTCAGCGCACAGGGCAGTGCTGATGTGGGGGTCTGTTTCAATACGTTACCACGGGGATACACAGATGAAGGTGAGTGTTTCTAACGAACTTGTCAATATGCGCCGAGGACGACACTTCGTGGGCTTTGCAGGCGGGACACTCGGAGGGTTGGTATTTATGCATGTAGGTGCATACTTATGCTATATCACGGTAGACGCTACAAACCGTGTAGGTGTACATTTATGCTATATTACCGTAGATATTACACACACTGTCCGGTGTTGTATTTATGAACTACTGGCTGCAATCCCTCTTGAATTCCTCGCCCACATATTTGTACAGACAAGTGTCGAGTACAAAGCAGTATTGTTTACAATCATTTGTTCGAATGATATGATTTGAGATTGTTTCTATAAGGGCAGTCAACTAATATAACTTGCCTTGTACTATGACTTCAACTATGATCACTAACCGTAACTGGCCATCACAGGTCCCAACGAAGATGACGAGGATATGGATGCGCCGCCTACTTTATCCGAAATGGGCAGGGAGCGAACTCAACAGACGGCACAGATTGCCTTTAAGCATACTTCCGATATGAATAGAAAGCTTGAAGCTGTCGAGACATCAAATGCAGAGACGAGCGGTGGGAAAGCTCCACAACTACCTATGGGGGCAGAGTTAGGCATGCCGCTGCCAGCTGATGAACCACAGCGTGGAAGTTCCCCTGGTACATTGCCACAGGCTGCAAAAGGTACAATGAAGAACTTGCAGACTTCATCAGGCTCCATTCACGACCATGCTGGCGGTAATGAAACGCCGACTATATCCGAGGGTGAGAGCAGACATGGACAAGAGCCTGAATTGGATGACCCAACTGCGCATCCTAGACACCAAATCAGTCCATCTGGACCGAAGGGAGGCCAAGGCACTTTACTTCAAACACAAGCTGTCGGAACTCAGTCGAAGCATGAAGTTGGTAGAGGCGGCAAGAATGAAATCAGCTCACCACCAAGTTTGTGTGGTATCAACAGTAGCCATCCCTGAGATAGCGGAATTGAATAGTGCAAAAGCTTGCATATGGGCCTGGCTTTGATATTCCTCTAAATATGATTTAGACGTCTCTAGGCTATACGATTATAAACAAGCCTTTGGCGATGGTGGAATTAGATTAGCTTTGCATCCTCCAAAGCTATTTACATTGCTTATTTCTCGCATTTACTGGTTATCATTCCTCAAATTAATTCAGACTTTAAGTGCAGATGGTGTAGTGTGGGACGACATTTGTGGAAGTTTGTTCTTAATTTTGCGAAGGTATTGCTGCTTGGACAACAAGCTGAATGGTACCAAAAACGTCAAAACCAGACATGTGAGAGTATGCCTCCTTGTTTATTGTGAATATCGTGATGTTGCTTAGCCGCTTGTGTCCTCATCGTGGATCCTCGTTTGTGTTGCTACTGCATTGGCGTATTTTAGCTTTTGTATGGCAAGACTAGGCTTCTGAAATTTGATTGTGACGAGTGATGAAAGTACAAGTAAACATTGTGATTTCCTGCAAAATAGATTGTTTCGTGCAAATGTTTTGGAAGGTAATAATACAGCTCTAGAGGATGGTAAACGGAAAGAATGAGACGTGCCCTTATATCTTCAAAGATCTAGTGCAGCGAAAGCCACACGAATTTCTACACCCCAATCTTCAGGTATATTAGCGACTTAGAATCCGTCTCATATGTTGTCCACGCATATATCTTCTAGATATCCAGCTGTATCACCAACCCTACACTACAGGCTACAGTTCGGATTTGTTCCCGGCCAATATTTGTACACAGTTGTAACAATCTCCAAATTGAAAGAACAGGTGTCTGCTACCAGTTAACAGCAAAACATAGGTAGCTCACAAATTGGATGGTTGATTCGATACCAAGATACTGCATGCACAGTTATCAAGCTAAATACATTGCCGCGATTCCAGGTATCTGGAGCTGAATGCTATTAATTTTATATCATAAGTCAGTCTCCTAAATGATATGAGACTATGATTCTACTTGCTAATTTTTATTTTTTTTATAGGGCAGTGTGAGCCCTAGTTCACTGCTTATATCGGAACTCAGAACTATTTTTGTTCGCAATCGGACTCTGGCAGCAACTCAACGTTCTCTTCTCTCGGCCTCCTCCAAAATAAGTGAAAGACAGATAAAACAAACGAACGTATTTGCGATGAACGTCTCTTGGGCTTACTACCCATTAATGTATTGGTTATTTCGGCATCAAGAAGCTGGTCCTGAATTTCAACAGGCCGTGCACCGACCGCGTTTGAATTTATTATGAAGCTATCCGTACTTGAAAATCCACCGATTGGTTTCGTTGCCAATTCAAGAAACTCTTGATCACTGCATGTGTAGTTCTTGAGCACCTGCTCGAATGTTTTATACTGCATTGCTCGGTCTATATGGGATACAACCCCATTAAGCCCTCTGATGTAAGCTCTGACCCAAGCCTGCTTTACCGCATCTGTGAAATCCTCAGCAGGTATACTGATAGAGACTGTAAGTATAAGCACACGTCCCAAGACAAGAAGCGTCGGTCTACCAATGCCCGTTGTCTTGCACAGCTTGCGCAATTTCCGCTGTGCATGCTCCTTGTAGCGGTTAGAATCTTCATCGAGTGTCATAATGATAGCGAGTATCAGCGCAACAAGTTCTCCCTTTGTTTGGGTCGTATCGAAAACTGACTCAAGTGAAGGTATATGTCGGAACAGTATCTCGAAAAAACTATCTACAAATTTTGACAGAGAGAATACATCCACAGTCCTTTTCCCAACTACTATCATCCAAGAATCTTGGATGAGATCCCTCCCATCGTAGAGATTCGCCGCTAGTATCGCTTCTGTGAGCAACCTGTAATCCATCGCATGTCCTTCCTTTAAACCCTCCATATGTGCACCAAAATTACTACTCATATTCCGATGTTCTATGTACCTCATGTCTGTATTGCTACTAGCCGTATCTCTGAAGTTCGAATCTGCAAACATGAAACAGAAGTCAGAACTATTTGTATTTTTCCATAGCCTCTCCTAAATTGAACAAATTTTGATTTATTTTAAAAAATAGTATATAAAAAAAGCTAAAAATTTACATTTACTGTATTTTATTAATTTTGATTTTTTACATATTTAGCCTTCTTCTCAAAAAAAAAACGGAAAAGTTGATGTTTTAAAAAATAATAAACCCCCTCCCCCCCCCCCAAACTAAAAATATATATATACAAACATCACGCCTCACATAAACAGATTCACAATTCCACGACCACAGGGCACAGGCCAATGAGGCCATAGCCTTTTATTTATTTTAATTATTATTTTAGAACTCTATGGAGTTTAATTTTCAGGAGGCTATGGCTATGGCTCAAAAAAGAATACAATAGAGAGAGAGGAGAAGCCTGAAGAGGGGGGGGGGCAATAAAACATTTATAAAAAGAAAACGAAAAACAGACATCTAATTTTGATGTGTTTTGTTTTAAAACAAACCTGCCAATTCATATATGAACAACCTGACTTTACTCTTTTCACTTTCAGTTTGCACTTGCCTTCAAAATGAATATTTTTTTAAAATCAAAAGACTATGGGACTCTGGGTCTTTCAATTTGTTTTTGGTTTGTGTTTGTTTTAAAAAAAGAGAGAAAAGGAACTGCGGATCTGCGCCCTGCGCCATGCGGTGACGAAATTAAAATTTATTATGTATTGTTTGTATTGTTTTACAAAAAAACACGGTGATTTATATTGCGAAACATATGCACTAGCGGCATCCTCGGTCTCACTACGTACATTTCTGGCACACGCTGCCTTCAACAACCTCGAAGTGCACCATTTCGACGTCACCACCGCGTATCTTTAAGCAAAGTTAGACATCCCTGTCTATATGCACCCCTAAAAAAGGGCGGTTGAACTGGGCCATTACCCGCCGAACACGGTTTTCCGTCTTAATTGTGAACTTTATAGCCTTCGCCAATCTGGTCGCCTTTGGAACTGTGATATCAAGGACAAGATCACCTCCATGGGCTTCTTACAAACTGAAGCCGACGAATGTACATGGGGCCACGCAGAAAAAATATATTTACAGTTGTCATTTCTGTTGACGAGGTGGTACCAGCCATCTCATGAGGCACGTCTCATGGTACCTGGCTATTCTCACAACTTGAAAAACACTACTTGATGAAGAACTTAGGACGTGTACGTCATCTGGTAGGTCTCAAAATAGATCAACATGCTGACGGCAGTCTATCAATTGGTCAGGAGGGTTACATTGACAAAATTCTCACGGTATTCAACCTCCATGGCACACCCACTAAGTCCACGCCCGGAACCGGCAAACACCCTTCTTCTCTCGCAGGCACCCCCTGTAAAGAAAAATATAGATTGCTATTAGCAGCACTGGGATTTGCCACTAACATTACTCGACCTGACATCGCATGCACACTCAATCAATTAACCTCGTGTAGCAGTTCTCCTCTCACTGAACACTGGACAGCCATCCAGCAACTCCTTCTATATCTGGCAGCAACGAAATCTTTTACCCTCACATATCGCACAAAGACACCAAACCAGACGATTGACACCGTCATTCAAGCCTACTCGGATTCTGACTGAGGCTCATTGTGGCCTCTACGTCCCGCCACTCCCGAACCGGCACTCTAGTGAACTTCAACGGTACTCCCATAGAAAACAGTGGCGAACAGAAGTAGCGAAGTGGAACACATAGCGGCTGCCGATACTACCAGACAGTTGGCGTGGATACGAAATTTCCTACATGCACTCAAATACACGCTCACATCACCTACCAGCCTTCACATCGACAATCAGGCTGCTATCAAAGTCGCTTTGGGCACTGGCACCCCAAAAGGACTTGGACACATCGAGATTGAGGAACACTACATTCGAGATTGCGCGTGACGAAAAATGATTGACATACATTTCATCCCCACAAATGACAACCCGGCCGACCTTCTTACCAAAAGCCCTGGCCGTCGCAAACACGAACACTACCTCAATGTTGTTTACCGCTCCACCGGACTACTATCCGCCGCATGTTGGTAGCCTCCGCACTCGTCGTCGACGTCGCCGGCACGTTTTATAAACTTCTATTCTTACACCGCTCACGCTACAGTCTGGCTTCCGGGGGGGGGGGGTCATTGACTGAGCACTAAAGTTGCTCTACTATAATTAGAAGCCACCCGTTAGAACTTTAGGAGTGAAGTGGTCCTCAGTCCTCACATCCGTAATACTATTATTAAAATACTTGTGACTTTACTCCTCAGTCCATTTGGGCCTCTGCCCTCTGGATAAATATACACTAGTCCAGTTTTATTGACACGTAAAATGTCGTAATATTCAATTTAAAATAAAATAAAACAGTCTCTCAGGGACAAAGCTTTTATTGGTCTCTATAATAATGTAGTAAAAAAAAAGTAGAACCGAAACGCTATCATTCTTCAAAAAAAATTTGTCGATCCGAAAACGTTATAGCTATTTTAACGGATTGTTAGATCACGCGCGTGTATAAAAACTTTCTCAATAAACATGTATGGTGATTGACTGATTGGTGTGTCATCAGTCATTACGCGCGTGTGACTCTCGTGCGTCATGTGTCGTAACTTTTGACAAAGTGGCCGTATATCTCACAAATCACGTAATTCACGTAGCATTCCATTCTTCTCTAAAAAACACACAGAAAAACATTTTCTATTTTTTGTGCCTTGTTTGTTTTTTTTTCATTTTTGGGTTAATTTTTTTAAACTTTTATTCCATATTTACATCTATTCCTATGTTGCCTTATTCTTTAAAAAACTATGTATATATATATATATATATAAAGACAAAAAACATACATGATTATTGATTCAGAGGGAAAGCCTGATAGGCTGATACTGTAGCAACTCTAGCAACTGCACCGAATAGGCTTACAAATAGTCGATATTTCGTACGACTCCATGAGTCCTTTTTTGGAGGCTATGGAGTATAGAATATGGACTCTATAATAAAACACCGCTGACGTCGGTGGGGAACTAAAAGTTCAGAAAAGTTGGGCGGGAAATAAGTGGAATTTGGGGTTTTTTAATCCAGTTCCGAGCAAACAATAGAAATGGGCATCATCGCATCTCTCCTCCAATAGTATTTGGAAACTGCAAATGGGCAATAGTTTTATTTCGGTCAACATTTATTGCTTCATTGTAGTTTATTATCCTCTACAGAGCAAAGAGTAAATAGACATCATAGTGGTTTTTATTTTTTTCCTCATTTTGTAATTCTCTATAGCAAACTTCAACGTTTCTTTCTTCCACTGCTGGTATCTCATCGTGGTTCTTGTATTTGGCCTTTCTATGTTCATGTACAGGGTCTCAAATGAGCATAAAAAGCTTCATCTAACTCCTTATTTGGAATAAATAAAGATCTGAGAGACCTAATAGCTAAAGCTTTTAGTGATAAGTATATATGATATGGTAAAAATATATAATATTGTTGTCCAATAGCTTTAAGGTTTTTTAAGAGCAAACAAATATGCATAAGTTTATTTAAACCTTTTGATATTGTGTTTTTGTGGTGGTGAACTAGAAATTAGACCAATCATTAGTCCATTACCTATTTTTATTGTATTTTTATGAGTGAATATTTTCTACTGTTGATTATTTTCCTGCAAGTTCTCAACTCCGAAAGAGGAATGAGTAACTGAGTGGTGAGCACAGTCCATTGTTTGCTTGTGACTGCCGTTTTCGTCGTGTTTGCGGGCCATAACGTATTTGGAGTGGAACTTTATTTTGGTGCCTTCCGGGACGTCTGAGAGCGGCATGATATCCGCGAGGTCGTTACGTCAATAGCCTTCTTTCAGAAAGACTAATCGGATGCCTGCATGGCTTTTGTGATACTCTTGGGGACTGTAAAATTCATGAGAGACATTGTCTCAAATAGTGCAATGTCTGTGCGTGTAAAGAGCTGTACAGATTTAGCGCGCGGAGGACGAGAGCTAGAGTAAATGGCGCGGATAGCTTCAAATCCAGCTTGTGATTCTGGAAGGATGTTCTGGACGTGGGGCTTGCCGGCTTGAGCTTGAATGCTGAGGGATGAGTTATTCGGGGTGGCAAATGAGAAATCGGAGTTGGATGAGAGGTCTTAAAATGTGTTCAACGTGTCCTGGTCCTCTTTGGAGCCGTAGGAAGAATTGCCGGATGAAAACAGTTGCGGTGTCACAGTGGAAGATGGGATGACATTGGAGAGAGGGTGAGGAATGGGTACAGGTGGGGAAGATTTCGGGGGCGGTTGTGGGGGCTGGGGAGTGGGAGGAGGTGAGGCGGGAACGAAAGGAACCTGAACAAGAGTGGTGCGTTAGAGGGGATCAAACCAGTTCTCTGGGATTATGTACGAGTGGGGCGTGTTTGACTGAATGGCACGTTTGCCGTCGGAGGGCCATTGGGGTCGACGGGTGGAAAGAAATCGGATGTTGCGCGTGTCGTGCTGGCGCTGGATCCGTAGACTTTGGATGCGCCAGGTGTTGGAGATGCTATTCTTCGAGCAACCTAGGAGAGCACTGTAGCCGCCCTGAGTTTCGTAGGCGGGGCCTTCAAGCTTGAAAACTACGAGACGGCCAAAACGAGTGTCGACAGGTCGCGGGATACTGCGCTGGTGCCAGAGGTCGCTAGGTGAGTATGTGCGCTCTTTGGCAACCAAGTGTGTCGTTGCGTATCATATCAGCCCACCTTGTGGCATTGCTCCACAGTTGGAAAGTCATCCCGGTTACTAAGAGAATGGATCGAACCAGATTATTGTAAGTGCCGTGAGCTCGTTCAACTGTTTCATTGAGTTGAGGCGTGTACGGTGGGGATGTCTGAAGAAGGATTCGACGTGAGACCAGCATGGACTCGGTAGCCTTAGACACAAAAGTTGAATTGCCGTCTGCGACGAACGTATGTGGCTTTCAATGCCGCGAGACCTGGAGAAAGAGCTTATCTTTATGCTTGTACATGTTGTTCTTGTCGGTAAGATTGGCATGGTGACCAAATTTACTGCCCTGGTATATGAGATTGAGGCTGTAACAATTGCCGTAACGATCCTCCGGAAGAGGTCCTTGTAGGTCTACATGGAAGAGTTCGCCGGGGCCGTACGACGTGGTAGAGAGAGAATGAGATACATTCTTCTCACGGATTTTGGACTCGATGCACACCTGGCAGTGCTTGGGAAATTTTGGGTGGGCTATCGCATATAGTATTCTCGAGTTAAGGTCTGAGCCGGGGGAAATAGCAGAGTGAATGGGGCCAATGACTGCTACAGGGGAATAAACCCATGACGGCTTACCAACGGTATCAGTACCATAACGCAAGAAGGTGTGATCACTGTATAATATAGGGAGGTGACTGTATACGAGAAATGAACGTCTGCCACAAGGTGGCGTGAGGACGAAGTGGGACGAGGACAACACAGGTGGCGCCAGTAGTAACAACTTGGTCTAAGAATTGCTGTGTGTCGAACCAAATACTATTGCCGTAAGTGCGTTCGTCCAGGAGAGGGGCTTTGCGCCAACAGGTGAAGGTACCGCCCTCACTGGGACTGCAAAATCGGGGTAAGGGCGCAGTCGTGGTAGAAGTGAATAGATCGATAGAGGGGATGTAGTTAAGAAACGACATGGCCTGGGTAAAGTCCTGCTTGTTAAGCATCCACTCTTCTGTCTTGATACCCACTGGAGGCTCGTATGTACGTGTGATGGCTCCCTTGGCCGCCATCTTGAAAGTGGTAGAACGACTCAAATGGCCTATGTTACGATGAAACCCGTCATATGTGCGGACAATAGGGGGACCAGAGACGGGAACCGGAGGAGTAGGAAGAGGTAACAAAGGTGAAGGGGGAGAGGAAGTAGATGAGGGGAGAGTCCCGACCGAGGGAGATGAGGTGGCAGGAGACGAGTGTGAGAACTGAGGAGGTGGGGCAGAAGGCGCAGGAGGGCTGGGCTGGGGTGGTTGAGAGGCAACTTGAGGAGAGGTGGAGGTACGAACCGCCGGAGGAGAAGTCGCGTGATGTCCGCGTAGGATATCCGGTAACCTCCTTGAGTGCGGGGGATGGTAAGGGAATTGTGTCCATACGATAAAACACAGGTAGTCTGCTTGGCTGGGAAAGTGAGGGCGTAACCATTGTCTTGCAATATGTTTTGAGAGACAAGTTGCTACTGTTCTGTGAGACTAAGATAGATACTACCAAGTGGAGGTAAGTAGCCTCGTTCGGTGATAATATGCTGTGTAGCGTCAGCTAGTAGAAGGGGAAAAGTGCCTGTCGCGACGTTCGTGAGTAGCTTCTTCGCTGAGATGTGCGGGAGATTTATACCCGCACCACCATCGATGAGAAGTTTATCGCTAAGAATAGGTGTAGCCTTGTGAGCACTGGTTGAACGTGGGGTAGAAGAATAGGGGAAATTCGCTTTGTTTATTCTACGAGAGCATACATCTTGGACGTAAGACGTGCGCTTACAAGTAGTAAAGTTAAGTCCTGTTGTCTACATGACTCTAATGCCCCTCTTGATCGTTCTGAATTTAAAGACATTATATGGAGAACGGATAAGGGAGGCTATACATACTATCGTACATGCTTTATAGACGGTACAATCGCTGAGTTGACTTCAGATGCTTTTGATAATCAAGACTTTTACTGAGGCCTTTTAATGGCCTCATCCAGATATCTGATATGTTAAATGGAAAAGGTTTAATTAATAAAACCATTAAAAACCATTTTAGGAAACTTAAGTTCCTCGTGCTATTAAGAGTACTTTATAATTTGCGTACTGCTTAAGAGTACGTTTAACGTTTATACATAGAGTCTAATGTGGAGGCACGGCTTATTACACAGCCCCCATCCAGCTTTGAGACCCAAGAGAAGCAAGTTGCTCACTCAAGCTGATTATGGGTCAAAAAGCGAGAAAGAAAAAACGGGTCGAAACATTTAGTAGCATAACATATAGTTAATGTTTCTCAGGCGGAGAAGTTAAGTGTTCTCGGTTACCCTGTGAGTTTTGGGCTTAGGTCCAGTAGGTCCGTGGTGGTCGACTGGACGTTTCTTAT